AGGCTGGGCTATGTCATCATGAAATACTCCTACATTGTATCTTTAATAATGGAGAACAGTTTTGACTATGAAATCACATTACCAGTGTTAAGAATCCATGATGGGCTTCCTCACGACTTTTTGTTCTTTAAAAATAACAATAGTAAATCACCCTGTCAACTCAAAGGAAAAGACACTTTTCCTGATCATCTCATTTCTAAAACAATACATCATGCACTGTAAGTTTACTCAGAAATGTCGAAGAAAATTCATGATATAGCTATACATCTTTATGGATTTTTAAATTTCATAATATTTTAATAAAGCAATTTTCATTTAGTTTTTATTTCATTTTGGTTGTTTGGTTAAATTAACTTGCTAGACTTTAAGATATTAATGCCCAATGCTATTGAAGTTGTGTAAAAGGGTCATAGTTAATATTGGTGGCACTACAAATAAATGCAAACTTTTTGGAGAAGTGTTTGAAAATTCAAAAAATACTTATGTGTTCTAACTCAGTAATCCTAAAACTCATCCTTCATTCCTAGGAAATAATCTAAAACAAGGAAAGAGCTATTTGTAAGGATGTTTGTGATAGCATTGTTTATAATAGTAGATAACTAAGAAAAAGTATCCTAGTAGTGTATTGGTTGGGAAAAATGTGATACATTGGGAAAAAATGTGTATGAGTATATTGCCTGCGTGTGTGTAAGTATACGTGTGTTGCACAATGCCCACAGAGGTCAGAAGAGGGCATCAGATCTCCTGGAATTGGAGTTACAGATAGTTGTTAGCAGCCATATGTGTGCTGGGAATCGAACCCGGGTGTCTGCAAGAGTAGTCAGTGCTTTTAACCACTGAGCCATCTCTCCTTCCCCCGGAAATCTTTCATTCCCCATAATGGATTTCTGAGGAGCAGGATTCCAAAAGTCCAGGCTAGTTACTTTTACCAACATTGTAATGACTGTGGTTCTGTATTTCAGTTTATCTCATTGTTTTCCTCATTATTCGATTGTAATAAACGGCAGAGCTGCAAAGTTCAGTAGTGAGATTAAACCAGAGTCCACTAAAGTCTGTAATGAAGTTGAAGAGAGAGAGAGAGACAGAGACAGAGACAGAGACAGAGACAGAGAGTGCTATTCTGCTTATAGAGCAAGTAAAACTTAAAAGTAGGAAAATAATTCATTTTCTATTTTTTAGTTTTTGGAAACTGTTGAAACACGTTGTTGTAACTATCAGCCCCTCCTAGGAGACAAGAAGGAATGTAGACAAACAATTAAATTGACAATGAAACCTGAAGAATCTGGAGATTGGAAATGTTGGTTACAAATAGTAAAAAGTAAAATCAAACTTGGGAGTTAGTACCAGAGAATGGATGGGGAATTTTCCATCAGCTCTGATTCAGACCTGCCATAGTCGGAAATCATAACAGTGAAGAAATCTGTGTCCTTTCCAAAGTTCTAGCCATTTGCTCAAATTTCCAAGAAAGAAAGGTAGAATATATCGGATGCTTCTAGTTTAGGGCTTGATGCAGACGTGTCATACCAGAAATTTTGAACTGAGATCATTTGATTGCACAAAGAAGCTGAATTGATGTAAAGAGACATAGTTTCACTTAAATCTTGTCTCTATTCCCAGAGGCTGGCAAACTATCAACTCTGCTGAGCAGTTTCTTCCTCCCTAGCACCTGAGTATGTGGAAAATGCAGGTCTGCTGCCCCAAGTGGCGTTCTCATGTCCACACCATCTAGTCCTCCTTAAAAATTAGCTTTTGATTACTGCAAGCAATGTAACAGTAAAGCTAATATAGCTAACCATTATCATATAGCTACCATTTATCAACCAACTGTGAATTGATCACTAAACACAAAATGTTGCATCCTATGATCTCCTAAAAACACCATTGCGTGAGTTCTCAACAGCATTTTGCAGAAGACTTTTTAGTTCACAGAGCTAGAAAGTAGCCAAACTGGGCCAAACTGGATTTGAACCCAGGTCTACCTGACTTCGGGGTCTATGACTGGAGTTACTGTTCTCTGACCAGGCACACAAATGAGCACTGCTGTTCCATTTCTGAACACTTCTCTTCCCTCCTCCAGATGCTCATAGTAGCAGCTGCCCTTCTTGTGCTGGAAAATGTTAACAACTACAAATGTTGCCAGAGCGAAAACTGCAGTGAAAAGTACATGGTAAGAGTCGCAGCTTCTGATGGGTGAGTGGTTTCTGCTTTCCCTCCTCTCATTTGGAAACACAGAAACACCTCGGCTCTTACCACCTCTCTGTGAGCCTGTCACTCAGAAGTCAAGCGTTTATTCCGGAGCTAGTCTTCCGCTTCACTTACGCAGATTCCTCTCCCTCTGTTCTAGTTCTCCTCTGTTCGCTTCTGGAAATCTGGAATTTAAAGATGTATGAGGGGATGGACAGATGGTGCAGCGGTTAAGAGAACTTGCTGCTCTTGCAGAGGACCCAGGTTCGATTCCCAACACCCAACATAGCAGCTAACAATGTCCATAACTCCAGTTTCCAAGGAATCCAATTACCTCTTCCAGCCTCCATGGGCATTGCATGATATGGGTGCACTTACACACATGTAGGCAATACACTTACACACATAAAATAAAAATAATAAATAAAATATTTTAAAGATGTATGAAACTAGAAAATAGTGCCTTTTCCAAATGCATTTTCAGGAGTCTCTTTTTCGCCTATGAACTTGATTTAGGACCTATTTACAGAACAATAAATGGTGTCCATTACAAGTAAACAATTCCATGAATTTTGACTGCTGAAAAAAAATCCACTAAATGACCAAAATAATCAAAACACAGAACATTTTTACCACCACTGAAATATGAACCTTTAATTTACTCTCTGCTTTTATAGTTTGTATTTTATATAAAACTTTTTATCTTTTTAAACCCAGCATAATGATTTTTATTATAGCCACATTGCTAGTTGTATATGATGCATTTTTTAAATTGGGACTTTATAAATAACCAAAATAGAACTGGAATGAATACTAGAAGCAGCCATTTCCAGCCCATGTTCAGCAGGCCGGCTTGGGCTGTTACATTTCCACAATTGTCCTGCCTTCTTCTTTTATTTATTTATTATTTATTTATTTATTTTTATGTGTATGAGTGCTTTGCCTGCATGTATACAAGTACACCAGTGTCGTGCAATGCCCACGGATGCCAGAAGAGGGTGTCAGATCCCCTGGAACTGATGCTGCCAGCCACCATGTGGGTGCTGGGAACCAAACCCAGGTCCTCTAACCACTGAGTCATCTCTCCAGCCTTGTCATCATTTATTCACAATATGTGTAGCAGTCCACAGATTTTAAATATCTTCTCAGTGACTTAGGTCACCCACTGTTACCCCTACTTTATTTATGAGGCCCTGGGGCTGAAAGAGAACTTGTGATTTGTTACCTAGGAGGGCCTTTACCACAAAGGCTGGTGAGCATGTTTTGTAGCAGGGGTTCTGTGTGTTATCTCCACGTTACCGTCACCAGAACTTTATAAAAACTATGGTCTGAGTTATTCCCTCCCTCCAAAGTCTCTGTTTTAGTTGGGCTGAGGAACAGCTGGGGTTTGGAATTTTTTCTTAGTAGCTACAGGGAATTTTAATGTGTAGCCAAGATGCTATGAACAATTCTTCCATGCCTTTGGAACTTTGAGTTTATGCCTTATTATGCCTTCGATGGGAAATTAAAGTGTGTGTACATTTTACTTTTTAATTTTTTAAATTTTATTTTATTTTTTAGACAGGGTCTCCCTGTGTCCCCAGTTGGCCTGAAACTCATTATATAAACCAGGGTGACCTCAATCTCATAGACATATACCTGCTCTGCCTCTTGAGTGCTGGGATTGAAAGTGTGCACCATCATGCCCATTTGTATCTTAACCAGTTGACTTAGACATCCTCCCATAGGTACTCATATTATGCTTATGGAAAGCTTTCAAAATTTTTGAGGTACAGCAATGGAGTCAGACATATATTTAAACTATGACACTCAGAGAAATGCTACAAATGTAATGTAAATGCCATTAAGGATGTAATAAAAATCAGCATGTTCCAGTTGACATCTACAAACAAATGCTAGAAACAGCCTGAACAAGGTCTCCCACGAGCAGTGCACAAGATGGCAGCCATCTCAGTGGGAGGAGCGGAGGAGGCAGAGCTGATTCCTCTGGTTCCCCGTTTGGTTTTTCCAAGATAGATTCTAGAACAGGGGTCCAACTTCATGTGCCTGCAGGAACAAACTGGGATGCAAACGGAAGTTGAGCTTGATGGGCATTAGAGTAAAATTTCCACTTAGGCTGGAGGCAGAGCTGCAATTCACGCCCCACCAATTGTTACCAAGAAGAAATTCAATGATAATTCTTATTTTTCAATATAAAGAATATGAATGCTTCTATAAAACTGCTCAATTATAAAATTTGTCATTTCTGAGACTCCAGAATGAAAACTGAGGCCATCCCACACTCATTTCTTAGTGGCGATCTGCTATAGTTTGAGTGTGTTCCCCCAAAACTCATATTGAAATTTAATCCTCTTTGTAAATAAGACCTTTTTTACAAACTGAGTAAATTGCGAGGGTCCTTCCTTCATGAATGGGATTGATGCCGTCATGAAAAGGCTCAAAGAATGACCGTTTGCCATCTTCTCCTGTGGGAGGATGTACAGAAAGTTCCATACTTAAAGAACAGGCCCTCCCTGGACACCAAGTCTGTTGCCATCTTGATTTTGGACTTCCCAGTCTCCAGAGTTGTGAGCAATAAATTTTTGTTATTTACAGATTCCACAGTGTAAGGCATTTTAATAGCAGAATGCACTAAGGCACTGTTCATTCCTCCTGAGCATCTGCCAGAACGCGCGGAATTATCTGCAGTTAATACTGCCCACATAAAGTCACTTAAAATAACAGAAAATACTCGTTACTGTTTCTGAAACAGCTCTGTTACATGGTGCTGTTACCTACTACATCACCTTCAGCTCACCGAAAATGAAATTATGACACAGAGACCTTTTTGAAAATATTTAATTTTAATTTTATTTTTTATCTGCCAGAACGCGCGGAATTATCTGCAGTTAATACTGCCCACATAAAGTCACTTAAAATAACAGAAAATACTCGTTACTGTTTCTGAAACAGCTCTGTTACATGGTGCTGTTACCTACTACATCACCTTCAGCTCACCGAAAATGAAATTATGACACAGAGACCTTTTTGAAAATATTTAATTTTAATTTTATTTTTTATTAAGTGTTCTTAACTGCTGAGCCATCTCTCCAGCCCTTAATTTTTAATTTTTATGTGTATGAGTGTATTGTCTGTATGTGTGTAAGTTTACCCATGTCATGCAATACCCATGGAGGTCGGAAAAAAGCATCAGATTCTCTGGAACTGGAGTTACACATGGTTGTTACCAGCCATGTGGGTGCTGGGAATTGAACCTGGGTCCTCTGCAAGAGCAGTCAGTGCTCTTAACCTTTGAGCCATCTCTCCAGCTGCTATGACACAAAGATTTTTTTTTCTCCTTGTAGCCCCACCTGGCCTGGAACTTACTGTGTAAACCAGGCTATCCTTGAACTCACAACAATCCTCCTGCCTCCGTCTCCTGAGCACCACCACACCTGACCTACACAGAGTTTTTTATTCCTACTTATTTTGAGGCTTCTCTCAATAGTGCAGTGGTATCTACTCATTAGATTGCAGTGTGTGTGTGTGTGTGTGTGTGTGTGTGTGTGTGCTGCCAAATTCATTAAGAGAGGAAATTTCACTGATCTTCCTGGAGAGCTGATTAAGGGACCATTTGATATGTAAGGATTTCTCTCTTTCCAAAACACTCCTTTTCCGAAGGAAAGACTAGCAAACAGACAAATTTGCTTTATAAAGTATAATAAACAATAATTTCTCATTTTAAAAGTAACTCTGTTCCTCTTACCACATTAGCAAAACCTTATTGAAATTAGCATAACGGACTGGAGATGTAGCTCAGTTGTAGAGTACTTACCTAGTTTTCATAAAGTCCAAGGTTCAATTCCCTATACAGCAAAACCCAAAACAAACAAAAAATATCAGTAAGTGAAATAAAATTTCAAAGAGCACTTAATATATAAAGTTGTCAATGAAATAATTATATAAATATTCATATTAGGTGGATCTAGCAGACATTTCATTTATCTTTGTGTTTTTAAAATATTTTCCAGTTTTCTATAATAAGAACATATTAAAGTTACAGACATAATCTTTTTTCAATAAATTTTAAAATTATTTGTTTAGTTTGATATACAAAGCAGTGGGTTTCGACATGGCATTTCCATGTGTGTGTGTCATTACACTTGGTTTCCTTCGTACCCTCTCGCACACTACCCCCATATCTCCTGACCCCTGCTGACCTGGTCCCCTTCCTCTCCACAGAGCTCCCCATCCTGCTTTCCTGAGCATGAATTTCATTAACCCCTCTTCTTTTTCTCCTCCCCCTTAAGATCTTTTCCTTCTCTCTCATGATCTTCCTTCTAATTCAGTGAAATAATCTCAAAAAAAGAAATAGAATTTGAGATAATTTTATTCCTTAAAGAACCAGGTTTGAGCTGACCTGGGAGTGTAGGTGTGTAATCCCATACAGGACTGGCCTCAAATGTTCCGAGGCCCTGGGTCTAACCCTCAGTATGGAAAACAAACAAAAACGGTTTATTATTCTTAGTGTGTGGTTGAGGGGAAGGGGAGACATGGTCTCACTATGTAGCCCTGGCTGGCCTGGAATTTGCTATGTAGACTAGCTGGCATGGAACTCACAGAGATTCACCTTACTCTGCCTCTTGAATGCTGGGATTAAAGGCACCACGCCCACCCAACTATATTCTACTTTTTTTTTTCAATGACTGAAATTTTATGGATTTCACACAATACACCTGAATCACATTTAGACCCCCTCCCCTATTCACGCCCTTCCATAGTCTGCCCACAGGATTTCATGCATCCTGTCATATGCGTTAAGGCCTGTCGAATCAAGTTTGTGTACTCAAGGTGTCCGTCCCTTGGTATGAGTTCATCCACTGGAGCCTGTTCAGCCTGTCTAGCATCACTCCCTTAAAGAAGATCAACTCTCCCTCATCCAGCAGTGATCAGCTTCCAAGAGTGCTTCAACTAAGGTTGGGGCCTTCTGCCCATTTCCCCAGTTCTATGCTGGGCTTTTGTTTGAGTTTACATGGGTTTTGTGAATGCTGTGACCATTGCTGTAAATTCCCGAGCAAGTTCCCGGGAACCTGTAAAACTCTGTTTCCCTAAGGTCATGCACCATCTCTGGCTCTTACAATCTCTCTGAGCCCTTTTCTGCCCGAGTGGGTGAGGTTTGGTATAGGAGTCCTGTCTAGGGATGGTGGTGAGGTTTGGTATAGGAGTCCTGTCTAAGGATGGTGGTGAGGTTTGGTATAGGAGTCCTGTCTAAGAATGGTGGTGAGGTTTGGTATAGGAGTCCTGTCTAGGGATGGTGGTGAGGTTTGGTATAGGAGTCCTGTCTAGGGATGGTGGTGGCGGTTGGTATAGGAGCCCTGTCTAGGGATGTACTCTGCGGTCCTTTAGGTTTCCTTTCTTTCTTTCTTTCTTTCTTTCTTTCTTTCTTTCTTTCTTTCTTTCTTTCTTTCTTTCTCTTTCTTTCTTTATCTTTTTTTTTGAGTTTTCTTTTTTAAGCAGCTACTTGATGTTACTGTTGTTCTGTCATCCTTTTGTCTTCAAATCAACATTTCTAAAAATAAATAGTCTCTAAAACCAGACTACTCTCCTTGGAATCTATTTTTCTGTCTTCTTTACACCTAAAACACAACTCTGCATTTTTTTTCCAGTCAATTGCCAACTATTTATTTCTTCTTTAATGTGTTCTTCTCCAATACATGTCTTTGTCACCTCAACCTGACTTTGTCTCTATATGGAATTCTTACCTTTGGGGTCTCTCCCTTCTGGCTTGAGGGCCACCATTACCAAAGCAATCTTCCAAAGCTCATTTAAATCATGTCAATTTATTTTTTCAAAAACCAATTTCATGACTTTCTTTTAAAAAAATCAAACACCCATTCTAGGTCTAGGTCAGAATTAAGTCTAGAGTCAGTCTGTGACATCAGAAAGCAAAAGAGTGTTCAAAGCACGATAAGGTTATGTAAAAAGGCACATAAATGGACTGGAATAGCTGTTTCCAATGGCTAACACTGGACCATCAAGGTACTTAGAGTAATTTTAGCAGTTATAGATTTTTTCACACTTAATTATGAAATAAATCAGCCCATTAATGTCATCAAAAGATAGAAGCAGAGGAGGAAAGGGAAATGGAAATGGACATTCTGTGCAGAAAATTACAAAGTGCAGAGAACAGATAGAACTATAAAGTAACACGTTGCCGCCTCCAGTGTGTGCACTTGTGACCAACTGAACTGTTGTTAGGAAGTTGACTGTGACAAGATTTCAAAGTACCACCTCACCAATATTTTATAATTGCACAATGGAAAAAGTGCCATTAGAGATCCGAGACACTTTCATCAAGAGCTAAATGTCATGTCGCCAATAGCATGAGAGGCTCACAGTGCACACCACACATCACAAGGATTTGTGCAGAAATTTTTAAATTCAATTATAAACAACCAGGAAAGCCCAGAATGTGAGGCATTCATACATAAGACAATTGGCTAGAATTCTTCAAAAACTCAGTAGTGTGCAAAACGAAAAGTCAGGCTAGTGTAGGTTAAAGGAAACTAGTGAGACATAACTCTACATCGTGAGACATAAGCCTACATCGTGAGACGTAAGCCTACATAGTGAGACGTAACCCTACATCGTGAGACGTAAGCCTACATCGTGAGACGTAAGCCTACATTGTGAGACGTAACCCTACATAGTGAGACGTAACCCTACATAGAAATCTTCTTTGGTTTCATTACAGAAAAAGCTACAAAATAATAGAATGTTTTTATCCTTAGGAGAAATAAATGTTGCTTTATTTAGTCATGACAGATCATAATGTCTCCAAACCCATTTTCACAATTCAACAATACAAGTATTTAAGTAATTTTATATGTATTATATATGTACGCGTATGTGTATATATAAACGTATGCATACCTACAGAGAGCAAAATATAGTAAATTATTCAAATTAGGTGAATCTAGATAAAAGATATACAGGGATTCATGGTAACATACTTTTAATACTTTTGGTTTTTTCCTTAATTTTTATTGAGCTTTTGTACATTTCATGCAACAGCCCTTAATCAAATTTAGATCCTCTTCCCCATCCATGCCCCCGACCCCAGCTGATCCTCATGCACCAACCATACATGCTAAGTCCTATCCAGTCAAGCATTTGTACCCAGATGTCCTTCAGTGCAAATTCATCCACTGGAGTCTAGTCAGCCCATCTAGAGATCGTAAGTAAGGCGCACTCTCCCTCACCCAGCAGTAACCAGTCTCCAGTAGTTCATGGAGACAGTTTCCCTATGTTCATGGATCAACCCTGGATCTTACAATCTTTCTGCCTCCTCTTCTGAAATGGTCCATGAGCCATGGGTGGCGTGGGTGAGGTTTAACATAGGAGTCCCATCCAGGACACACACTCCGCAGTCTCTTATTCTCTAAAACGTGGCCAGTTGTGGCCTTCTGTGTACATGGCACTCTGTTGTATGAGGAAGCTCCCCTGGCGAGTTGAGGGATACACTAGTTTTCTCTCCACCTCCTGTTCTACTAAGTTCCATGAGCTGTAGGTGTAGGGGTTCCACTGTAGATATGTTACCTAGGACCGAGACTCTCTCAGACATATATGTGTCTGCATGTGACTAGTTGTGGAACTTTGCAGTAGCTTCCATCTGTTGCAAAAAGAAGCTTCTTTGATAAGTGGTATAGTATATTTGTCTGTAAATATAAGGGTTCATATTTAGCATATTGTAAGAAATTTCATTTGTCTGCAAATATGACAGAGATAGGGTTTTCTGTAGGATCTGTGACCTCTCCAGCCATTTATTTGGCTATAATTACAGTGCCACCCATAAGTTCACTTCCATTGAGAGGGCTTTTAGTCCCATTAGATAGCTGTTGATTACCCCCACCCCCAGATAACAGTGCTACTACTGCACGAACAGAGGTAGTTTGCTGTGCCAGTCGTTATGGTTATTAGATTTTAGGAATAGATTGGATCATTGATTGATTTTTTTCCTCCTTAGCAGTTTGCATAGTGTCCTCTAGAACTATGAGAATTAAACTTCAGGGAGAAGGCTTCCAGATCAATTCCTGCTCCATGTTCCAAGTCCTGTGTCCAAAGTATGCCTTGTCTTTGGTGGTCGGGTCTTATCTTGGAGTTCCGGGAGATAACCAAGAGCTTTGGCAATAGCCTGTGTTATTTTGGGAGGGTCTTGGACTTCTTTGACCAACCACTCAAAGGGAGATCACTCCTGTCTGCCACTGTGCTCCTTGCCATACAGTCCCCAGGTATACACATGCACTAATGTTCAGATACTGTATGTGCATTTCTCAAGAAGTTCACTAGCCAACACATTTCCTTCTGTCTTCCCTAGCTCCCCAAGCTCCATTCACCCCTCCTCCTCCTCAGTCTAAGCACTGCCATTATCCCAACCCTTCCTCCAAAAACACCTTCCTCCCACCATCCCACATCTCTTGAGTCCCTCCTCCCCCAGCACCATGGGGGCCCCTGCATGTCCCTCCCTCCTTCCCTCCCAGCCAAACACTCCCACATTTCCCACCTCCCCCAGGTAACATCTGTGCCCTACTATCCCCCTCTTTCGGGCTCTTTCTCTGTACCTCTGTGTTTCCTTCCCATTTTCCTGGCTCCTGGCATTACATCAGGATATATACTTGCATAGAAGGGATTGGTGCTACAATCCACAAATGAGGGAGAACATACGTTGATTGCTTTTCTGAGTTTGCCTTGCTTCCCTTAGTATGACAGTCTCTAGTTCCATCTGCTGCATAAGGAAGCTTCTCTGGTGAGAGGTGAGAAATGCATTAATCTATGGGTATAGAATACATCATTAGGAAGCAGTTTAGTACTATAACTATTTAGTAGAAAGCTAGTATTAGGCTCTCCCCTATGGCCTGTGATCCATCTAGACCGAGATTCCTAAGCCTGATATCAGTGTCAGGTATGGGCTCCATCTTATGAAGCAGCCCTTAAATCCAATTAGAAAGTGGTTGGTTGCTCCCATAGTATTCCTGCCACTATTGCACTGATGGGCCTATGTGATCATTATTTTGATGTCAAAATTCCAGATAAAAGGAAGAACTTTAGTAAATCATCTGGTTCCCCATGTGATGAGAATCCAAAAGTCATTTATAAATATATTAAGATCTGATACACTTGGATTAAAGTTTCCATTTGTAGGTGGGCACTAGTTATTAAAATCCTCAGTGGGTCTAAATGGGAAGGGAAAGGTAGTTATCTGGTAGTTTATCCACCATACCTCTCTGCCTCGATCTGTAACACTAAGCTTCTATGTTTAATTTAGACATTGCTGTCGATTGTCTTTTCTGCCCTTGGAATTGCTTTCTCTGGATACTGCCTGGTCATTTCTGCTCTGGGTCTTGTCCAGGGCCCATACTGCCGCACCCACAGTGGCTGGGAATATGCCTTTGAAGACACTGCAGGACGGTAAGGAGTGGTTCCCCAGGCAAAGGAGCCCAGAAACTCATAAACCCCTGCCCACAGGCTCAGGTGCATTTTCCAAGTCCCACCTGGCTACCTTAGGGTGTGGGGTCTGACTGGTTCTACCTTTGTGGCAATCTTGGAAACCTTGCCTGTTACAAGTATGGAAGGGTTTACCCTCTGACAGTGTCATTCTGAGCCACTGTAGCAGGGGAGACACAGAAAGCCATGTGGGATGAGCAAGGGACTGCATCTGGAAATCCAGGAATGTGACTAGGTGCAGGAGGGTGTGGGAGGAGCTACAAGTTTAATTGGTAATTTGAGCAATCTAATCCTGGATCTTAGAATGCTTCGCACAGGCCTTGTGCTACTTTATTGTGCCGACACCTGCAGAGATGGCTCAGAGGCATCAATGTCCAGAAAGCGATACAAGACAGGCCCACGATCTCATTATCTTTTACCCTGTATTCAGAATTCCAGTAGGTCACAGGGATGTCTGCAATCACCAGTGTCATTATATTTTCTTCCTGACTCCCTGAGATTAGCTTTGTTGGTTTATGGGCCTTGTCTATTCAAGATCTCACATGTACACTTCCGTCTGCCTGGCAGAGCTGCTTCTGTGCCCAGAGCTGTCTCCATTCGGAACGTTCTGCTCTGATCTTTTTTAGTAGGCAGGGCTCTCCCTCAGTTCAGGAGTATTAAACATTATCACAGACCGTCATGAACAAGTGGAAGGGACTGTGGGATTAAAGAGACTCACCAAAGAGGACTTTAATGTAGAAATTCTCTCTGGGAGCAAAAGACCCCTTTTTGATACATCAGCACCTTAACTTTTTCCTACTCCACAACCAAAAGTTAGTGCATGAGCCTCAGACTCCCCATGTTCCTCTCCATCATATCTTTAGTCTGCTTTTGATGTCTACGTTCACATGCCTCCACCTACATAAAAATGATCAGAGGTGAAATACTGGTTGGAGGTCACACAGGAAAACTACATCTCTGGTCTTAGAAAAGTTTCCAAAGCTTGGCAAATACTGGGTGAAAGGATTAATATTGAAGTAGTATATATCAGTTATTCACTTTTGCATCTATTTAGCACTTACTGCATCTATGAGTTGGATGCTAGAGAATCAGACATAAATTTCAGTGGCTCTATCTTCTCCAGGAGCTCACACAGAATATTGCATTGAGACAAAACCCTTACACTGACATGCTTACATGTTTCCCTTGGAGCACAGGTCTTCGACAAAGATAGATTTAAGTCCCTGTTCTCCTACTTACAAGTTTTGTAACACTGGGCAAGTATCTGGGTATCTCTGAGCATCTATAAAATTGTGGATAATAATAATGCCTCTATTACCAAATTGAGATTTAAGTGGAAGTAATGTGCAAATGAGATTTGATAAATTTTTACAGTAGCCCATTACTGTGAATATTTGGTAAGAAACATGTAAAAATGCTCTGAAGTCCGCAAAGCACAGTCCAGATGTGATTTTCTGATAGCATTGCACTAGATCCATCTCCTGCTCCTTCATGTCCCAGCTCTGTCTTAGCCACCAGGGAAGCGGATTCCTGTAACTCCCTCTTCTAGACTGTTCCCGGTCCATGTTCTAGCACACCACCCAACACTTGGAAACCGGATGGCTTGGAAGGTTCCTGTGTTTCTCCTAGGCCATGGTGTTATCTGTCCCTCATCAACTGCCAAGTTCTAGGTATACTAGCAGAGCAGGGAGTAAAGTCCCTTGCCCAAGGTCCTACAGACCCAGACGTGCTGAGTTCATATTCTGTGCTCTTTGTCTCTGGGATAAGAGCCATCAGTTATGCTAAGGCATTCTCAGTGCATTAGAGGGTAGGAAATAAAGGAGATGAAGAGAATGGAAAGGGAGATAAAGGGAGGGGAAGAAAGAAAACAAAGTAGCAAGGTGATGCTGGGAGACTGATCCCCACAGGACAGCATTCCCCACTTCCCACAGCCCGATACCAACACCCAGGCCACATGGCCAGCACGTAAGTGGCCTGCTGCTCTGAGACAAACCAGCTTCCTGTTAACTCACGTTAACTTCCCGTTAACTCACATTAACTTCCCGTTAACTCATAAACATCTTCACTGTACAACGTGAGGACTGTTTTTGTCTTAGAGGTCTTTGGGGAGCCCAGTTCTTCACTTCGATTCCTCTAAACAGAGAATGAGCCCTCAGAAGTGCTAATGGCCACACCAGGCCCAGAAGGAGGCAAGTCTTTCCACGGAGCAAAGTATTTTTAAGATAGGAGTGATTTGATTTCCACATACCTTTGCTAAACTAGACTGATTGAAACTGTGGATCATTGGAGTCATCACCCCATAATCTCAATCATTTCTAGCTGGGACAGCACTGTTCCAGAGCAGAGGTCAGTGTGAACCAGAGCAGAACCAAATCACCAGTGTCACCTGGGGACTTAGAAATGGAAGGGCTCAAGTTCACTCAGACTCCCTGGGGTGGAGTCCAGAAATCTGAGTTTGGACCAGCCTTCCAGATAATCCTGATGCTCATTTAAGCTGGAGAATCGGTGCTTTAATGCTTTGGAAGTAGAGTCAAGGCATTACCAGCAGAATGTTATTTTACCACGTGTGAAATTAAATCAGGCACAAGCTCATCACCGTCCCTGACCTCACAGGCAGACCTCTAGAAAAGGGCTGGTCCTACCTCTTGGTATTGGCACGCACTGCCTTTCCCTGTCATTGAACTCTTCTGAGTGCACTTTGTCTCCTAATTAAACCCAAGTTGCCCCTAAAGCAGGCAGGACATTTATAATAAACTGAGTGTCTAACTCAGAGCTATGCATACGATGTGTTCAGTATATGTATTTAAATGATTTTTCAAATATATCAATATTACTATTTAATGTTGTACATACTAATATAATAGTATATTAATATGTATTTAAATTATATATTAATTTCCCGTAACGTATTTATACCTGTAGCTTCCTCTTGGATAAAAGTTGATATACTTGGTCCTGGGTGTTGTTCTTTATCTCTCTCCTCTCTCTCTCTCAGTTTCCTTACAGATTCCAGCATATGGAGTCAGTGCCTGGAGCCTGCACATGTGGTAGAGTGGAACATTATTTTATTTTCCATTCTCATAACCCTCAGTGGGCTTCAAGTAATCGTCTGCTTCATCAGAGTAGTCATTCAGTTATCCAAGATACTGTGTGGAATCTATTCAGTCATCACACAGGTAACAGATCCCCCGTGGTCCCTAGCCACCTCTGTTCACCTCCACCTTCCAGAATCTAATATCGAAAGGTCCTGGAATTCCATAGTCCTCTTTTTCTGTTTCTACCACCCTTATCTTTGCTCAAGTCCTAAAACGTCAATAGTTTTGACTATGCCAATATTTCTGTTGACTTGGTCGTATGGATTGAATTAAGTGGATAGTTATAAATCCACATTCCACCTCGTGTGATGAAAAGAGCAGTTTTGTAAGTGAGCAACACTCCACTGCTCTATCCAGAGATGACCCACTGTAGGACGAAACTTTAATGTTTTCTAAGAATTTCGCTGCTCACAAGAGAATCAAAGACTCAGAATCTACTCCCACTGAAATAAATTCTCTTTTGAATGCTACTATATTTTATTAACAAAACTTCTTGGAGCCAGAGCATTACCATTGTACCACGAGGCTAACCTAACACAGCTTCTTTATACTGAATACATTAGCAAGTGGCTTGACAAGAAGGGAAATACGTCTTTGTCCTACTGAAACTACTTCCACAGTTTTTTGCTAAAATATTTATGTTAATTTAGTTTTGGTTGGAAATGCTAAATCTACTCAACAAATCATGAGTAAAGAGAAATAATGAATGAGGAATCTTATGTTCTGCTTAACAACAATGTGTAATACCTTCCCTAGAAGTTTCGAATAGATATTTTCTTACTGTCATGTTTTGAATATGAAACGTAATTTTAAATCAAGCTAAATTTATAACTTAGTCATTTTGGTTTTTCTTTTTTCTATAGCCTGGAATCATTTGAATAAAGACAAGAATGTTTTCCATTATCAAGACATGGCCGTCTACCTAAGTCTTCTTAATGCTGTATGTTCTTGAGGGCAATGTTGAAATAATGATGCTCTCTCTGTTGTTCACTGTGCCCGTTTGTGAAATTTATAACCTTCACTGGAAGTTCCTATCATGCTACCTTTGTGTGTGTGCACGCGCGCGCGCGCGCGTGTGTGTGTGTGTGTGTGTGTGTGTGTGTGTGCACATATGTAAGCATATGTGTGGTGTATGTAAGTATATGTCTGGCGAATGTAAGTACATGTGTGGTGTATGTATATGGTACATGTGCACATGTGTGTGCAGGTGCAAGAACTTGTGTGCACATGGAGGCCAGAGCAGGCAGTCAGATATCCTGCTCGATCACATTCTTCCTTATCCCCTGGAAACAGAGTCTATTGCTGAGCCTGGAGCTGGTTTGTCAGCACAGAAAGCCTCTGTGGTCCTTCTCTCTTCCCCTACCTCCGCTCCAGTCCTGGGGTTACAAGTGCAGATGACTAAGGCTGACTTTGTAAAATGGGTTCTGGGGATTTGCACTGAAGTCCTCATGCTGGCAGAGCAGGAACTCAGCTGCTGAGCTGTATCTCCAGCCCCAAGCTACCTTTTCAGTTAGAATTTTATCAAAGGAGTATATATCTGGGACTTCAGGAGTGTGCTTACCATTTGATCAAATTCACTTCTAAGACCTTATACTACAGAAGCAAATAAGAACATGAGATAAAATTTTATTCACATGTGTATACTGTAACATTGTTTAAATTTCTGAAAACTAGAATTACCGACTACATTTAACTTCAGGAGGAAAGAGCGGTACATCAAGTATAAAATTACATTATAATTACAAGTGATGTTCAGGGATTATGAATAGCAATGCAAAAGCAGATTACAAGTTTATCCTTAAAGTGCCAGTATAACTTTAAAAAGAAACAAAGCACTAAATAATAAATAGGATGAAAATAAACCTAGAAGGAAAGACACTGTAATGCCAACTGTGGGTGATTTGGGTCATAGATGACCGTTGTATTTTGTTTGTTTATTTGTTTGTTTCTTTGTCAACTTGACACAAACTAGAGTCACCTAGGAAAAGAGACCCCCCCAGTTAAGGAATTTCTTCCATCAGATTGACCTATGGGCATGTCTGTGGGAGTATTTTCTTAATTGCTAATTGATGCATAAAGGTCCAGCCCACTACGGGTGCACCATCCCTAGACAGGTGGGCCTGGGCTGTATACAAAAGGTGCCTGAGCAAGCCAAGAAAGCAAACTAGTAAGCTGCCATCCTCCATGGTCTTTACTTTAGCTCCTGCCTCCAGGGCCCTGCCTGGAGTTCCTGCCATGGTTCTCCCAATGATGGACTATAGAGTATAAGATGAAATACACCTTTCTTTCCCAAGTCGGCTTTGGTAGGTGTTTTTTGACAGCAATAGAAAACATAACTAAAACTACTGTTCTATATTTTAAAACTTTTTTATTGAATATATTTTACTACAAATGGTTTTTAGTATTCATAATTTTTCACTGAACTTTTTCCTGTCTTTTCAACCTTTGGCTCAGCTGTTAAGAACACTGGTTGCTCTTGCAGAAGACCTGGGTTCGAATCCCAGCGCCCACATGGCAGCTAACAACTGTCCATAACTCCAGTCCCAGGGGATCCAACAGCCTCTTCTGTCCTCTGTGGTCACTGCACAATGTGGGTGCACTTACCTACAAGCAGGCAATACACACATAAAATAAAATTAAAAAATAAAATATGAAAAAAAGTATATGCTCTTGGGGCTGGAGAGATGGCTCAGTGCTTAAGAACACTGACTGCTCTTGCAGAAGACCTGGGTTCGAATCCCAGCGCCCACATGGCAGCTAACAACTGTCCATAACTCCAGTCCCAGGGGATCCAACAGCCTCTTCTGTCCTCTGTGGTCACTGCACAATGTGGGTGCACTTACCTACATGCAGGCATAACACTCATATACATAAAATAAAATAATAAATAAAAATTTAAAAAATGTATATGCTCTTTCCAAGTGTTTTCCAACATGACTGTCTGTAAATGCAATAACACTTCAATTTTCAAGAAGGATCCTTATCTTATTATAGAGATCATTCTAAGAGAGGTTTATAGAAACATATCTTCTAACTAAACTCTCAGTCTAATTTTCTCACTCTTGATGGTGAGTATGGTGAGCTAGCAGAGGTAAGCTTAAAGTAAATGATCAGCTAGGGGCATGCTTATTGGGCTACAGAAATGACCACTGGCCAATAGAAATTTGTGTCATGGGAGATATCAATAAATGGTATTTATTGTTAAAAAATTAAAAGGTAAGAATGCTTATAGACATCTCTCTTACACACACTATCACTTCCTTGAGGTGAGAAATCATATTATATTTATTTATTTATTTATTTATTTATTTATTTATTTATTTGGTCTTTGAGACAGGGTCTCCCTGTAGCACCAGCTGTCCTGGAACTCACTATGTAGACCAGGCTAGCACCAGCTGTCCTGGAACTCACTATGTAGACCAGGCTGGCCTTGAACTTACAGAGATCCACCTGCCTCTGCCTCCCGAGTGCTGGGATTAAAGGCGTGCACCACCACATCCAGCTGCAATCATATTTTATATTGTCCCATCATCTGTGGGGCCTGGCACATAGTGGGTCCAATAAGTACTCAGTATTGACATCCATGCTATCTATGGCTACTCTGCCAGGCACTGTCCATCACTGAGCCACTGAGTGTTAATATTTTTCCACTTCTCCACAGTTCCTCTCATGAACAATCTTCACACGTGCTCTGTTCCAAAGCCAAGCAACAGTCTTACGCTTGGTGCCTGTCAAGGCACCTACTCGCCAGCCTTTGTTGTAGCAAGCATCTTAAAAACAAGCTGTGTTGTATAGCACCCAGCAACCCCCTCCTGTCCCCATCCTGCACCAAGCTGACTGAAACAAGATCAGATCATGAACAGCTTACTGTTGGGCTAGTGTTCTCTGACTTGACCCAAGTGAAACACTTTCCAGACAAGAAAGGTGGTTATTCATGTTTGAGTATTTGAAATAAGAAGTCGAGAATGAATTAAACTGAGCATTGCGTGAGGAGAACAATTAGAGATGAGGAAGGAAGCAGACAGAGAACATCTTATATTAGTAATGAAGTCCATCTGGAAGCAAGATTCATAAACTTCTGTTCCTGTGTTTCCCAAAGCTGCCTTTGTACATGGCCCACTGTGACAGCACACAGAGCCTGCCTTCCATTCGTGGTTTTTCTCTTCCTTATTACTGTACGAGTCATTTCAGTAAATAGCACCACTAAATCAACGCAGCTCTGTTCTTTGTCACCAAAACGACCCTACCAAAGTCTCCCCATTGTGGGTGCTATGCTAGAGGGCCCCTACGGCAGACAGGCTTCAGGCCCAGAGTTTTACAGAGCTTTGTTCAATTTTCTTTAAAAAATTCTCATTTATAACATTTCATTTTCCAATAGTTTTAAACACGTGTTCTGTAGGACCTAGGTTAACCCAGTTACAGAAAACATGTGGTGCTCAGAGTGGGCCTTTCCCTCTGACAGCGCAGGAAATCTCTTCATCTGTCGAGCCCACATGTTCTTCCTATCTAGAATGTTCTTTAAAGTCTCCCAAGACTCCTCCAACCTTCTATAAACAGACTTCTGGCTAGTCAACCTCACCAACTCACCTTTTACATTCAATATGTAACCACACATCGAGTGGACTATGAGTCAATATCAGCTAAATAGCTCTACCCCAGAGCTGGAAACACTGTCTAACAACAGGACCACAGACAGCCGAATGCAGCATGACATTTCTCTCAGTGAAACTGAATTTTAACACGATCACTCAAAATTCTATATTCGAGGAATATACACAGTTGTAAATGCAATTTTAAGTTAAAAATCTGAATACAAATGGATGCACGCCATTTGGGCCTCCAAATTTAAGTAACCACATAATTACATAAAGACACATATAACCCTTCAGATACACAGAAAAAAGACTGAAGAATATGAAATGTTATAGTTAATAATTGTCCCATGATGGTGGAGTTATGAATTATATGACATCTTTACATTGTTCAAAATTTCCTTTGAAAATATATCATTTGAATTATTAGAAAAAAGAAGCATCTTTGAAAAAAGAAAGTATCCTCTAATGCTTGCTGTAAATCCATTTAAGGAACATAGACAGGACATACACACAGGTATATATGTCTAGGCCAATTTTCTTCTCTTTTAAGACGTTCCCTTCCTATCTGACCCTGCGTGTTGCGGTTGATTCTAGTTGAGAATGACTTCTATTTTGTGCATTTCTGATCCTACACTTACTATTTTCTGTCCTTCTCACTATTGTTTTTGTAACTTCTAAAATTTAATGCCTCATATGTTACTTTTCAGCCCTTTCTTAAAAGAAGCATTTAAGATTCTTTTTCTGTCAGTACCATTTTTGGTACATGACATAAATTTTGAAATGTATTTTCCTCCTTGTTCAGCTGTAAATACTTTCTAGTTTTTTTTATGATCTATCGTTTGATCCATGAGTTTTTTTTTTTAATGTGCTTTGGGTCCCAAATATATGATGCTTTTGGTTTTTTTTATTCTAATTAATTGTATTATATTCAGGGAAAGTGATCTGATACTTTAAAAATTAAGCTTTGTTTTGTGGATAATTTTTGTAAATGTTCTATATACTTAAAAATATGTTACCATGGAGCATGGTGGTCCATGTCTGTAATCCCATTACTTAAGAGGTAGAGGCAGAAGGATCAGAAATTTAAGTTCATTCTGGGATTCACAGTAAGCTCAAGGCCAGCCTGGGACACGCAAGACCTTGTCTCATCTCAAAAACAAACAAAAAAAGAGGGGCTGTGAGCTGGTTCAGTGGGTAGAGGTGTGTGTGCACAGGCCCGAAGACCTGAGTTTGATCTCCTAATTCCACAAGGTGTTAGGAGAGAACGTTGGCTTTGATCTCCAAATACAATGCATTGTGATACACCTGCGCGCACACACACACACACACACACACACACACACACACACATGCAATAAGTAAAATAAATAAAAATTTAAAAAGAATAAA